GTTTTACAAAATATGAAATAAATAATAAAGCAAATTCCAAATTTGAGCTTCCAGATGTCCCCGTTGTCTTATCATAGTACGAGAGACATGCATACATTCATTCAGATTCTTCATTATTTTATTTCTTTAAATATAACGCAGGGCTCTAATATTTGGTAGCAACAATCTGAAAAGTGATCCAGACTTTTATAGCGAACCAACGCAAAATGCCAAAACGAAATTAATAGCCTTCTGAGAAAACTGCCCCTTTCGGCTAAAAAAATTCCCACTCTCCAAAAAAAATCGCCAATAGTATCAGAAAACGGTCAGCAACCAAAATAAGAGTTAGTGAATTTAAAATTCTTCAGAAAATATGATTCATTCTCCACTAATGAAAACACGTGAGATACGAAAACAACGAACATAGATTTAAAGAAATCGAAGAATTTATTCATTAATGAATTAATTTAACAGTTATTTTTCTATATTTCTTTTTTTCCCCCTCTAAAATAAAAATACCTCAAAATTCTAAAAAAGTCGCCAAGTTGAGAACTGAAATGTAAATTTAATCAATACAAATTCGGTTATTATTCATGTGAATTCAGAATTATTCATGTGAGGAAAAGGAGACTGTCAGAAAGGGAACTAGCTATTCAAAGAAGCAGACGACTTTAAACTCTGTAATAACACTCAGTTAAACATTTATCAGTATTTCTTTTCCTATTACGCAAAATGTCAGCTCAGAAAATAAGTTTTACTACTATCGTATGCTTTCTGACACTTTTTTTCTGTAATACTGTTTAGTATTATGAAAATGCCTTATTTATTAAATCTATCAATATACTTCTGTACAAAAATAAACCTAATGGTATGGCAATTCATTCTGAAAAATTTCATTTATAAAAATGAAATAATTTTCGAGATACGATTAGTTACTTGAAGACGGCGAAGCATTTAAGGGAAACTCATGAAGGTACACTTATTTACGATGTTGTTGTTCTTTTTTTTTTTTTTTTTTTTTCTTTCTTTTTCCAAATTAACGTAAAGGCTACTAGTTAAGAAGGAATACAGTGTGCTGTGAAAATTGTATTACAGCTAGGCTTGCCAGACGTCCCGCTTTGGCAGGAACTGTTGATGTGGTCCCAGCCAATTGGTTCTTTTGTCCCGATTATTTGGTAAAATTTTAAAAGTGCCAAATATACACAATTAATATCAATACAATCGTAAAAGAGTTTACAGTATTTTATGGCAAATGTCTTTCTTACATTGAACTATGTGAAAATAGTTTTGGTGGAGTAGAATCTTGTACTTGGATGAACAATAAAGAATTAACATGGTTCGAAATTGAAGATTCAGGTGAAAAAATTAGTGAAACTGTCGCAAATAACACAATAAATGTGGATCCCCTTTTTGACGAAGTAGTAACTGCAAAAGCTTTTTGGTCAGCTAACTATAAAATTAAATGAAGTTATGAAATAAAAATAAAAGTTTTGAAGAAAATTGGATACAACATTTCAGTCATTTCGGAGAGATCACACTAATGATAAATACTAATAATAATGCACGCTCAGTTAAAAATTATTTTTAATTCAATGTCGCTTTTTGTTACCAAATTTTTTATTTAGCCTTTTCAATCATCGAAAATTATTCTAGTAGGTTTCATTTTCTGTTGTATTTTCCAAAATTAGCCGATTTAAGCAAATATATATATATATATATTACGGTAAGCCTAGTTGCTTGCTATAATAAAATCAAACAGACTGGATATATCAGCAGTAATTTATACTGTGAAATATCTGGTAACAAAGCTTCCGTTCCTGGTATTTGAAATATAAATAAAATAACGTTCAAATAATAACGTTCGCATAAGAAGGAATCTAGTATCTTAATCTCATGCGGTTGCTTCAGCTGCAAACAGTAAATCAATACAGAAAGTGAACGTAAACGTAACACAAAAGACACAGGTGAAGGCACAATCCGAAGAGTGGGGGAGAATCCTAATGGACTAATCCGCAGGGGGGCGGAAGGGGGAATGTCCCCTTCAACACCTGTATACATGTTTGACATGTACGGTCTCAAAGCTAGTTTTCCAAGATATATAAGACGAAGAGCCCCACAGGGAAGCAAGCTTCACAGGATTTAAACGACTTATCTTTAATTGGATAATAGCGATATATCGTAACGAACACTGTTTCGTGTATCAGTTGTTAAAAAAGAACTTGTTTTTGCGTAGGCTTGTAAAGTAAAATAGTTCTTAAGAAATCTCTTCTTATTTGGCAATATAATGTTAATTAGAATTTTTTTTTTTTACGAATTTTAAATCCAAAAATATTTTATATGATTTTGAACAAGTGAACAGTATTTTATGCTTCAGATACCGTAAATAAAACATAACAGATAAACAGTGTAAATCTGTTTCTGATTTGTGAAACATTAAGTTATTACTTATAATTAAAGAGTACAAAAACAAATGAAACAAAACTTTTATGCTTGCATAATGAATCAAAATAATCATAAAAATAAATTTAATATTTATTTATTTATTATATTTCAATATTTCAGTTTTGTGTTCATGATGTATAAGAGCTATAGTATTATTTCAAGTTTCACTCGAGTAAAATGATTTTTTACTTTGTAACTAGTTTTAAATATTAATTCTACATAACAAGCAGAAAAAAAAAATTATTCTTAACATTGTGCATGGTTACATTCTAACAACCAGATAAGTTATGCACATCTTCTCTATTTTTAATAGCTCGTTCCCTGGCAAAATTGTAGCATCGGCTCTTTTAAGATTTGCATCAAGCATTTCAAGCACTTTTCCTGCAGTAGTGGCCATTCTTTTTTTAATTCCTGTAAACACCTTATAATTTTTTTTTTTTTTGGATGTGAATATTTTCGTTTTCTAGCAGTAACAATTACCCACTTAAAAAAAAGTAGCTTTGAAATTAATTTTATACAAGATCAGTGGTTTCTAATCTTTTTCTGTCCCCCCCCCCATGCACACTTTCCATTGCTGCTATAAAACGACGATGGCTAATTACAGACGATCATCCCTCCCCCAACTACCTTCTTTCCCAAACTCGAAAAATACATTTATAAAAATCTAGATTTTATTTTATTATTTATAAACTGTTTTCGCATAGCTCAATGTAAGAAAGACATTTGCCATAAAATACTGTAAACCCTTGTAGGATTATATTGATATTAATTGTGTATATTATGTGTTTTATAAATTAAACAAGAAAAAATATAGGAAATACTGATAAATACAAAAACATAAATAAAAATAGTTTTTTATAGGGTTAAACTCAAACTAAATAAATACTCGATAGGTAAATAAAAGCCTGACTAACTTCGCCTTCTAAAGGTATGAAATCCCCCCCCCCAAAGGGAATCCCTTCCTGGATGAGAAGCCCTGGACTAGATGGGAAGATGAAAACAATTAGGGAACATCCCAAATACGTAGCCAACAACCATGAATGAATTAACTGATTGATTTGTTTAGAAAACAAGAGAGAATGTCTGGATAAGAGAATTGGTCTGTGTGAGGAACTTTTTACGGAAAACATAGGAGAAACATACGTTGCAAATCCTTTCGCCGTGATCCGAATTACCAGTGTTCTGCGATGTTATTCGCTGCAAACGCAATACCATGATCCCGCCTTTTTTTTTTTTTTTTAATACATATTCGAATTATTTGCTTACAAATGCCATTCAGATTACCTCATCTCAAACGTGAGTTTCGTATAAGATAAATAAAAAGAAGTTTTAATTTTTTGACTTAAATGATGCTTTTAATATATCGCGACTGTGACAAAGTACACTACCTAAGAGGAGGAATACCTTCGGGACGTGTTTTCTAAGGGAAACTGATTAATATTCATGTTGCAGTTGGGAAAAACGGCCAAAACATGCAACCAGTCTGGTATATGTTACGATGCAATGTTAAATGCTTTATGCATACTTAACTGACAGCTGTCTGTTACTAAATATACAGGTGACAGTTGTAAAATAGTGTGTTTTCTAAATGATGCGTAGAAGGAAAGGGTAAAAAGTGCCACTTCTAGAAGGGGTAGAATTCTCTAGAATGTAGATTAGAATATACATAAATAAAAGCCAAGTAATAAAATTATAAAGCATGAATATAAACAATATTCAACGGGGAAAAAAAGACAAAGGAGCTCGCAAAGTATCTGTAAGATAATATTTGATTTGTTATAGATAAATCCGCTAATAAAAGCTATGGGATGAGATTAGGGGGCAAAGCTATATGCAGTTAAATAAAAAAAAATTTTTTTAAAAATAAAAAACCCTTACTTTTGAACATAGAAAAACAAAACAAGTGGTAGGCGACAAACAGAGGGTTATTTTGCATCGAAGTATTGAACAATTTAGACAATGCATGCAAAATCTGTCTGTCAAATCAGAGATGTTTTCATGGAGGAAAGTTTTGAGGCAATTGTCTTGTGTTCACTTTAGACACAGAAATCCTCATGAGCCCCCTGCAGCCGTCTCTTACACCGGAAAAAATTCCCTGGTATCGTGGCATAAAGGTGATTATATATATAAAAAAAAAAAACAGAGTGTAAAATCTAAGGCTAAAAGAGTTAAAAAAGAATAAAAAATAAGTCACATCTCTGAGATACAGAGCAAGGAACAACGTCCGGAACGAACATTTCACCGTGATAAAACACATGAAGATCTTATTTTAAAAATGAACGAAATTTCGCGGACAATCATTATGCAACAAACTACAGAAAATTTATTTCTTCAGAGATAGAAATAAACCGTTTACCAAAACACATACAAAAATTATTCCATCAGTACTTTGGATTATTGTAAAAGAATGCACACATTTTCTTCCTAACAATTAAAAAGATTAATTTTGAAACATCCACCTTCTAAAATTTATCCTTCAATAATCGATCAGTAAATAAACCATAATATAGTATACCAGAATAAAAACTTCGCATTCAAAACATTAATAAAACACGATAAAAAATAAACAAAAACATTACCGGTTCACCCAGAGAAGAACGTCTCATAACACAAATTGGAGTAATTCCACTGACAGCTCAATTTCAGTATCCGAATGACGAATATGCTAATAACACATGTAAAGCGTACGAAACCACGCGCGAAAATGAAGTTAGATTCGAATTGGCGAATTCATCTCCTCTTGCGGCCACTGATGCGGTTAGCGGACGCACGCGATCTCTCAGCGGCGGCGCTCCTATTGGTCGGTGCTCATAGAGATAGGCGAGTTCATTGTTTCTATTGGGGTAGTATCCGGACGTTTTTTCTCCTGTGGATAGGAAACATACGAACAGAACGGATTGCTCGGAAAAAGTATATTTTGTTGCCATAAATTGATTTTTTTTTCTCATCCTGTCTTTCTGGAGGGTTTAAAATGCTGCTCATGTATGATTCATTTTATTTTTTGATTGATGTTTGGTGTTTTAATTCTCCGCTGAGAACAATATTCATGAATTTTGATTTCTTTGTTAATTAGAATTGGGGGGGGGGGAAAGGATAAGGATAATTTCTTTATTTACATCATGGAAAATATGTAAATTAGGCAGATTGAACGCTAACGGGGAACTAAATGAGAAATTAATTACTGAGGCTTTTATTCGCGATCGGCTACTATGTTCTACTTTTATTTAGTTAGTTTTTTTAAATTTTATTTAGGTATTTATTTAGATTTTTAATTAAATTTATTTATTCATTTTTCTGGATACAAAGGAACACATGTCCGAGTTTTAGTGTTAGAAAACATTGTTACTCACTCTTCCTAACTTCTTAGGCTTCTGTGGTACAGTAATGTTAAGTTACTTGGACATATATCATCCGTTCAGCGTGGGAAGTGTTGTCATTCTAAAAGACATAAGGCTCTTATCTTCCACATAGCGTGGTAAATAGACAGCTCACAATAATGCAATTCAAAATAGCATATAAGCTATAATTAAATTTTAATTGCAATCATGTAAAATAATTAAGCGATTTAAAAGTAATAAATGTACTTCTGAATAGTTACCATCGTCTGCTAGTACCCAGGCAGCATGCATTCGTAAATTGCACGACAAAAATACACCAAAACATTACTATAACAAAATCCAAATAATTCTTTTAATCATTTTTATGTTGTCTAAAATCGTTTACTCTTCAGTAAGTGAAGAAATTTTTTTTCTTATCCTTATTTTATTTCATAAAAGGTCATAAAGTTTTCTTTCTTTAAAACCGAATACCAAACATGTTGGCTTAGACGAAAACAGTGAAGTTTCATACAATCCAGATAATTGGAGTTCTAATGTAATAATAAAAATAACAATAATAAATAGCCTAAATAAGTATAATTATAGGAAAGTATGAAAGTGCATTTACTTCAGATCAACTGAAATGTAGCATAAATCTTGCACCGATGAAATCCGCTGTTAAAAAAAAATGAGAAACTGATGTGCTCTAGACGACTTTATTGCTAGGAGTTGATAAGAACTCTCCTGGTTCCAGGAACCCAGTGAAAAAAGGGAAACATTTGTTTTGTTGTAAACAAAGTGACCGCAGGCGAGCATTTGCCCCCACAATGTATCTAAAAGCTCAAAATCCGGGTTCTTTGATAAAAGCTATTTTTAGCAAGTACGCAGGAATTTCGAGTATTTGGATTCGCAAGCAAGCTATAGAGTAAAACGTAGAATTCCCGAAAATGAGTAATCTGCCTTCTGAAAAGTAAAATTTTGCGGACAGAAAATATATTGCTCTCAGAGCGCTTCGAAAAGCAACTTCGGAAAATAAATTAAAAGATTACTTTCATGTGTAATTAACGGGCATAAACTTATGATTAATGATCCCGATGCATATCTCTTTGGTCTACATTAAACTATTGTTCAAGAAGTTAAACATTTTCGAGCATCTTCTGCTCTATGCATTATTTTATTCCTCGACATGAAAGATTCGCTGAAGTCTTGTTCCAATTTAATTGCCAATATTTGCTTAATAAAATAAGGCGAATATTGCACCAAATGCAGTAAGTACACAAACTTAATATACAGCTTATTCCAGTTAAATGGGTAATGGGATTTTCATAAAAGAAATTAAATTGCGTAAGTTAATGTAAATGTTCATATGAAAAAAAAATAACAAATTTGACGTAAGAAAATAAATAAGTTATTTTGAAGATCTTTAAATCAAGAAAATATATATATATATTTTTTTTGCAAATATATATAAAAATTTAGCTCACATATTAAAATTTATTGAAAAATTTTAGCCTCATATATGAATGTTAGAATAATCATTAAAGCAATTTAGATTTATATAAGATATCAAGAATTTTTTTCTAATTCGGTAGGGGTTTTTAACCAGAGTAAAATTAATTTTAAATGTAAAGACGATTAAAACGCAAAAATAATTTTGATAGCACATTAGCTGTTAGATTATGCTGTTGGGAAAAAATATATATATATATATATATTTGCACATATTTTTTTCCATGTTCGTGGGAAAAGGAAAACAAAGTAAAATGTCAGAAATACACTAAGTATTTTGAATTAATAAACTTCATTTTCAATCTTTTTAGAATTCGTATAATATCCGTAAAAGTGACGAATGAAATATACCATAAAGGCAGTAGTTTTTTTTTTTTCCAGTTTCGTATAATTTTCTTAAAACTAACGTGTGGAAAATAACGATAAAGAGTGAACATCTTCAGCCATTTTTATTCGTATAAATTTCGTAAAAGTAACGTCCAAAAAATACCGTACCCTTACTTCACCCAAATTATACGTATATTTTTGGCGACATGCTGCCAGGGTAAGAGCCGAATTTAAATATTTAACTATATATTTAAGGTATTATTTTCCTGATATTAGATATACTAGCCTCAAAAATGTTACTCTACACACTTTTTCCTTGCTTTCGAAAAGTGCGTTTAAGTTCTTGTAGAATTCATTTAAAAAATCTCCATGAAAAATTTTTGGAAAATCAAAGTAGGTATACCTGAAAGATAAATTACAAATGAAATGAATTTGAAATAAAAATTTCATTTAAACAAACAATTGGAAAACGAAGATAAGATGTTCTTTCGCATTTCTCAAGTATTCCAAAAGAACTCGTTTCTTACTTATTTATACAGTAGAATAACGTACCGTATATTCCGGGCTATAACGCGCACTTTTAATTCCAAAAATAAGATCGAAATTTACGGGTGCGAGTTATATATCGTATATAAATATAAAAATTGTAGTAAGCTCGCCTAAAAGTTACCAAGAGCTGCTGCTCCAAAAGGTTCAACACGTTTTAAAAATATTAATACATATGAAAATCATACCATTAGACATGTAAAAACATTAAAAAAACATTAAAAAAACATAAACAGATAAAAAGTAAGCGGAAAATGGTAAATTAGCCCAATTCGACTTCCAAACTGGCTTTTCAAGGGAAATTTCATTTATTTGAACGTCGAATCAAGCTAACCCCCATTACGCGTTTCGCCGAAACAGACAATTGAAACTTTTTCGCTAAAAATTTTTAAAAATTTAGACAAAGTGTCTTGGAAATTTTAATAGTCTCAATTCTCTGTTCCAATTTCCCGACGCGTCCGCACAGAATGACACATTAAGGTGTTAAAATATGTTAAACAATACCTAAACTTCCTAAATCTAGACTAAATCAAATTAAATAAAATAAAAACGAAAATAAATAGCGATGAGCTATTAGTCCTAAAAATACAAAAACATACGGGATGGGCCGTATGTTTTTTAAATATAATAGATTTAAAAACAAAGCATACAAAAATTTAATTTCTACATGTACCTAAATGTTGTTTATTTAACCCTTTGAGGGGCGGTATATAAAATAATTTAAACTGTGGTAAAATTTTGCATGAACTATAACTTATGGACCCTAAGGACACAAAATTGAGACTTAAAAAAAATCTAGAGCGAAATCCTGAATTTTGAGAGCCGGTATATATTTTATACCGGCGCCCCTCTAGGACATTTTTTTCCAGGTAGCTGCCAACTGTTAATCTTTGTTTTTAAAATTAATTTTGCCTACTTTTGATGTGCGTCTGTAGTGATGAGTGCTTGAATATAGTTATGTAAGTCTAAAGACAAATTTTTTTTTTAATTTCAGAAGAAATTTAAAATTTTAATTTCGGCAGAAACTTAAAATTTTAAAAATAAAATTTATGTTTTTATGCACTTTGATGATGCAACCCAGCTGAACATACTTATGTAAAATATGGGTAAAAAGCTTTTCAACTTGATTTAAATTCAATATTATTTTATAAAAAAATTTAGCAAATATAACACTGCATGTGTAAATCGTATCATGCTGTAACTGAACTAGTATAATATTACAAGCAGATGTAACTCAGCCGAAAATTTAAAAAAATTGAAAAATGAAGCACTACGACCGACTCAGCTGAGAAAGTATGTTGCATTTTTGAAGTTGTATTTTATGCTTTAGATAATATGTGAACAAAACCATGCTTCATACAGTATACGAAGAACCCCCCCCCCTCCACGCACACACACTTTAGATCATTGAGGACCGTAAGGTCCCTTTTTTATTTTTGTATAGTTTGTAATATTTTTTTTTTTTTTTTTTTTTTTTTTGTTAGGAAGAAAAACGCCGTTAAACAATTTTATTATTTGATACACCTCAAAGCTCTTATTCTGATTTTCAATCCCTTTGGCTTCATAGGGGCTCCTTTTCAACTTTTGGATACATTTTAGTTTGCATCTAAAAAGGGCCTTCAGAAATATTTTTCCTCCTTTCACCAACTGTGAAAATTTATTTCGGAAACAACCTATTTGTATCAACCAGAGCGCAAATTTCTCTTGTGTTCTCTAGTCTTTCATCTGAAATTAACAAAGAATTAAAAAGAATTTCCCTAAAGAATAAAAGCTTTCAAACCAGGAGTTTTTGTGATTACACTATGATGGACCTTAAGTACATTTCCATTTTAAGTGAGCTTTCCCTTTGTGTGATCTTATCACATCTCACAAAAGGAAGAAGGCGTGACCCCCGAATGACAAATTAGTTGTCAATCACCTCTTTCATTTTCCTTGCATTCTAGGATTTTGGAAAACAAGAAGCAACGGGTGTCTTTTGGGGGCTAACATGCCACATTTAACCCCCACAATTGTGTA